CGTTTTCTTAAACAGCTGCTGAATTCTCCTCCCCCAGGATCCTCTGATGAGGTCTCCCTAGAGCAGGAGTTCGAAGATGACACTCACTCTTCCCGTAGCTCCTTGGACAGGCAGAGCCACCACCGGGCCAACACAACCATGCACGTGTGCTGGTACCGCAACACCAGCGTCTCCATGACCGACCACAGTGTGGCCGTTGAGGTACCCGCGGGGCGCAGCGCTCACGGGTGTCTCACTGGCTCACGGGTGTCTCGCTGGCTCCGCGTTGCCCCGTCGCCGGCAGGAGCGGGCGCGAGGGAAGGCGACTGCGTGCGGGCCCGTCTCCGTGCACGTCCGCGTACGCTGCATGCGCCGCTCTCCCCGCAGCAGGGCTCTGCTTCCGCAAATCCTCCGGAAGAGGGAATTGGCCAAGCAACTGCAGGATATCCATAGGACCAAGCTCCTCTGAGTTGACTGCTCTTTGCCTGGCTGCTGCCTCGGGTGCTACTCTGCCTCAGGGCTGGTGCAGCGCGTGCGCTCAGGGCGCCTTCCTGTACCAAATCCCATGCATATCAAGACCATAAACTTCAGATTCCCTGATGGAGAACAGGGAAGTGGTGCCCACCTTTCCTTTCAGTGGCCATTCTGCAGGACACCTCCCTGGAGGCCCTCATCCTCGCAAGGCTTCCGTGAGCGGGGATGTACCAAAAATACCTTGGAGAGAAAGAGGAGGTTGCTCGCTAGGGAAACACCGATAATCCAGGGGGCTGCCCCTGTGTATTTCCACCTTCGGATGCCCTGGCCCTGCTTTTTGGTGTAATGGTAGGAGCTAAAAGCTGGGTGCCGAAGCCTCTGTGTTTTCTTTTCCCTCGTAGCATGAATCAGCTTAGCATGAATCAGCTCTCCGTGGGCAATTTTCCTGGAGGTGGGTTCTGTTGGCTTCATGTCCAGAAGTTTGACGTTTTAGCCAGCAAAGAAAACTGGGAAGTTTCTGGGATGCAGCCTTCCTCCTCAGGGCGATAGCCTGGCAAAAGGCACCGTTTTGCTGTGTCCTGTCTGGATGAGGAGACCGGCGCGCTGCAGGCTCTGGTGCTGAATGGGCCGGTTCTCGCGCCATGCTCTTGCTTTCATCTGTTGCATGTTCTAACACCACCATTTTTTCCCTCACTCACAACCCATTTTCCTTTAACAGATGCTTTTCTCATGTCTTGCTTCTCTTATCCTAATGTTTGTTTTTTTCTCTTTCTCTCCCCCTTCTCTCCGCTCAGTTTTCTGCTCTCTTGCTGTTTCTCCAGAGCTTCCTCCTCGCTATTTGCTGGGCCAGGCCCAACGGCCCAACACAATCACCCATGTTTGCTGGTACCGGAACCAGAGCCTTTCCCTGTCTGATTACCTGTGCATGATTCAGGTAAAAAAAAAAAAAAAAAAACACCTCAAGTTCACCACTGGCGGGAGGAACCAGGGGATTCTCAACAAAATTTACCACTCCTCATTCTGTAATTCCATAGCGGATCTCAGAAGTTGTACTAGCCTGAAGAGGCCCAATCCATCCAGCAGCAGAGCCGTAACGATTCCTCAGTGCAGGATTTCCTCCTATTTCTGCTTCCTCAAATGGTTCTTTGTGCTTTTCCGCTGTTTCTTCTGCCTTTCGTTCTCAAATCCCCGTGCTGTTATCCCGTGCCGTGGGTTTTCTCCCGCTGCCCCAATGCCCAGCGTGTTTAACCCACGCAGTGCTTTCCTGCAGCCCGCTTTGCTTCGCGTAGCTGCTGCATCCTGCTCCGGCCTCCGTTACCAGTCCGTTTGCCCTCTGCTTTATTTTATTTTATTATTTATTTATGTATTTATTTTTGGTGGGTAGAAAAAGTTAAACAAGGGGATAAGTGCCTTTATGGCCAGTGCTTTTCCAAGTGGGTTTTCCTGGCTGTAGACTGCAAAGGATTCATCAGTCCAGTGGCAGCTGGGCCAATGAATCGGTGCAGCTCTCTCCTTTGCATTACCTTGAGTGACTCCGAGTTGCAGCAAACACTTAGACATAGAGTAACTCAGTATCTGTGGAGAGAAAATGTTCACTGGGCAAAGGGCCAAGAGTTGCTTGGGCAGAATTAGTGAATTAGTGAAGACACAAAGCCATTCTATTCCTGTATGAAATACCCAAGAGGCCTTTGAGAGCGCAGGAGCAAGAGCTGCTACGCGGGAGCTTCGGGGTTTTTATCCATGGCGGTTTTGTCTTTTCCTCAAGGAAAAGCGAGGGAAATCTTACAGGGGTTTTTCTCTCGTTCCCTCCCAGAATCAGCTCTCGGGATACTTGCTGCGGAAGTTCAAGAACAGCAACGGCTGGCAGAAACTCTGGGTCGTCTTCACCAACTTCTGCTTGTTCTTCTACAAAACGCACCAGGTAGGCAGAGGGGACCCAGGAACCCAAGGAGGCAACTTTAGGGGGCCAACTGGAAACGGAAATCATTGGCTTTGGAGCAACCGTTCTCTTGAAGGAGACTGAGAAATGGTGCCTTTTCAGCAACCCAGTAACATACTAAGACCTTAAGTCTTCAACCAAAGAGCCAACGCTCGAGCTGGCCGCCGCGGAGCCGCAGTGGGTGCCTCGTGCTAAGACCTGTGTCCTTGGGCTCTTCCAGGACGACTTCCCGCTGGCCAGTCTCCCGCTCCTCGGCTACGCGGTCAGCTCCCCCACGGAGGCGGACGGCATTCAGAAGGATTACGTCTTCAAGCTGCAGTTCAAGTCCCACGTGTACTTCTTCAGGGCTGAGAGCAAATATACCTTTGAGAGGTAATTTCCTGGGTTCTTTTCTGTCTCGGGATGCACCATTCTGTTAGTTCATTAGCTGGGAGGCTGGAGTTAGGGTATTTAGAGCTCCCAGCCGTCATTCAAATGACCTTCCAGAAGACCCAGCACGTTCCCAGTGAGAAAGTTCCCTTTTTCATGTCTATAAAGTTTGCAGGTCCCTCCTCTACCAGAGCCTTCCTCCTTGCAAGGGAAAAGATGGTGATTACAGCTGGAGCTGTAGGCTCAGGGGCAACTCAGGAGGCCGGAGGCCCCTTGGAGCTGGGGAGTAGCATGGTTGGAAGGGCTGTGAGATGCTCAGCCCCGCTAGGTAGTTCTAGGAAGTCAGATGTCTGGGTCCAAAACACTCCTAAATGAATCAGGTTTGAAACAGATCATGTACCAAACTTTCTCCTTAAAAACCATATGGAAAACCTAAGAACATTTTGTTTTTCCAGAAAGCCAGAGCTCCCCCGGCAGCGTAATGGGCACTAATCCTCTGTAGTGGATATTTTACGTGGCTTTCTGCCTTGCAGGGTGGTATTGGGCTGTTTTGTGTGTTTGGTTTTGGAGTGTTTTGTTACTGAGGAGTCCCCGCGTGCTTCTCCCTCACTTGGAGCACATCACATAATAGTGAGTAATGTGCAGCTCAGCTACCAGAAGTCAGAGAGTTTTTATTTTTTCTCATTGTTTTGTTCCCATATTAGCAGGAGTTGAGGATCTGTTGCCTAATTTACTGTAAGAAAAGCAGCCCATATGACTTGAGAGGATAGGCTGGCAACAGTTGCAAGAGGCAACAGTGTGCACTAATAGACACAGTTGGGAGCTCAAAGCGCTGCAGATCATTCCTGGGACAGGCAAATTTGCTCTTTAGTGTGTTTGTCCCATCTTAAACTGGGTTTAATGCTGTAAAAGTCAGTCTGTAAGAGCAGGAAGTGCAAGTTCATGCAATTTTTGGATTGTCCCTTGAAAAGAAAAGAAGAAAATAGATTTCCCATGTAGCTCCTATTCCAGTGCTGGCTCTTTTCTTTAGATACGTAACTTGGGGCTTCCCTGGCCTTTAGTTTAACCAAGAATCATAGAATCCTTAAGGTTGGAAGGGACCTTTGGAGGTCATCTCATCCAACCCCGCTGCACAAGCAGGGTCACCCAGAGCATGTGGCATGGGGCTGCGTCCAAGCGGGTGTCTCCAGAGAAGGAGACTCCACAACTTCTCTTGGCAACCTGTTCCAGGTCACCCTCACTGTCAAGAAATTTTTCCTTAAGTTCCTGTGGAATTTAAGGTGCTTCAGTTTGTGGCCATTTCCTCTTGTCATATCGCTGGCCAGCACTGAGAAGAGGCTGGGCCCATCCTCCTCACTGCCTCCCTTGAGGTACTTCTAGACACTGCTCAGGTCCCCTTTCAGCCTTCTCTTCTTCAGGCTGAACAGGCCCAGCTCAACCTGTTCCTGTTCCTTTTTTTTGCCTTGGCCCTTCCAGCTCTTAGGAAGACATTCAAGGAACCTGAAAATATCAGATATCCAGAACACGATGGAGTTGGTGAACACTCCAGCTGGATGTAGGGAACATCCAGTGTCTGAAGCGTTTTGTGGTGGTGGTTTTCCACGTTCCTGTAGTCAGTTGAAGTGAGAGAAACCAACTAACATGCCCACAATTTGGCTTAACTCTTGAGGAATAGAAATGTTGATAAAAGAGACCATCTGTTAGAGCCCTGAAGCTTTTCCTGATGCAGTCTGCTGTATATGCTCTAATTGCTCCAGTCTGCTCCCTCATTTATTTCTGTTCATTTGAAGAATTAACTTTTTTACTAACACGGGGTGATTAGTTTCCCAAAGGAATATTAAAAGAGAGTTAGAAAATGTTCTGTGATGCCTGGTTAAAGTAATGCAATCCCTAACCAAAGCACAGGATTAGCTTGAGGTGACAGTGAGCAAGGGGTCGAGCATCCTAATGTCCTGTCATGTCTTTCTTGCTAGGTGGATGGAGGTGATCAAGAGAGCTACCAACTCTCCTGCAAGATCAAACCTGCTGCTTCCGAAGGAGGAGAAGGAGAGTCACACAGACTGAAGCGGGGCAGAGCGGGATCTCTGCTATAATCCAAATAAAAGAGGTGTGTGGAAACAGGAGTCCCTGGCGTGGCTAAAGCAAAGACCCGGGATGCTCATTTCCACCTCGTCTGGGAAGCGAGAGCGAGGCTGTTTGGGACTGCGCAGCGTGGAGGAGGGTCAGGTCTGCTCCAGCTGCACCTGCCTAGGGAGAAGCTGACAACAACGTGCAACGCTTGGTGGGAGGTATTTCGTACCAAGCCTGCGCCCCTGCCTCCCCCGAAGGCAACCGAGACCCCTCTTTCTACACGGTGACTGCGTGGCCGCTGGTGTGTTTGGCTGGTGGCCGCCGGTGTCAGGCTCGCTGGCTGCCGGGAGGCCCCTTCCCCGGGCGCTCGGCACGGCCGGCCACGCGGCCGCTCGCTCACCCGCTGCTCTTAACGTCGACCTGCTGGCGCAGTCCCCTTAGACTAACGGGGTCCACAGATGTCTTAGCTTAAAGTTAATCACGAGCAGAAACCGCAGCGCTCAGAACAATTCTGCTCTTTGGAAACTGTTACGGCAACAGTTTTGCAGGGGAAGGGGGAAGCCTGAACCTCTAAGCTGTTGAGGTGCCAGGATTGTGGGTCGGTCCAGGTAGGGTACATGGTTCTTTCCTTAGAAGCCCGCTAAGTTGCATGCTGAGAAGGTCACCTGCTATTCTCATATTACGGCTCCAATGTCTCTTCATCCTGTAACAGGTATTACTTAAGGCAGGGGCTGGGAAACGCTCTGTCCACCCTCTGTGGGTGACGTTTTCGAGGCGTTTAAGCAGCACGGGAGGACAAGCTCCTCTGAAACCCACTGTCGCTTGTGCTTCTGTGTCACTTAAAGACTTTTAAAATCCCTATTCTTACTTTGAAACGTGGGGCGGCCCCATCTTTCATTTCACATGAAGGTGTAAAAGTCACTGGATTCTAGCTGGAGCGTTAGTGTCTGTGGACTCTATTAAACCTCTGTATCAACTCCGAAGCGCTTGCTGTTTGTTCTGTTTTGGTCAAGCTGGTTGCCCCAAAGAGGGAGTGAGAAGCTAACTGCCACAAAACGCTGTTGGACCTGGTTTCAATGGACTCTAGGGACTCCATTTACCTTCTAGGTAGAAAACTGTATGTACTAGGAGAAGGAACTAAGAACTTGTGTAGGGAGGGAAAAATGGAAGTGCTGCATGTTGTGAGGATGAAAGAATGGTGAGATCCTTGTGGAAAGGGGAAAGGAGAGAGGTCAGTGGGTGCAGGCTCCTAGGCTGTGTTAGGCTGTGGGCTAAGTCCATCCTGCATGGAAAAGGATGAGGATTGCAAGGAGTGAAGGAGTCCAAAGAGATTTCCAGACCCTCACCTGCCATTTGCTTCGTGGACAAGAGCGACAGCAGATCCAGTCTTCACTACCCCCTCAGTGACCATTGTCCAGTGTAAGTTAAATGTACTTAATTTATTAGCATTGTCTTTTTTTTTTTTCTTAATCATCTGTTGTAGGTCTGTAAATGTGAATTGACGACGTATGTTATGACCTAGTTGAACACGACTGTTTAAAGTAAATAGCTTCTTGCTATAAAACACTCTCAGCCTCTTATTCCTGGGCATATCCACCCCCTCAGTTGGGGCTGCCATGGGAAGGCAGACGGGATCTTCACAGGAGCATTGAGTTTCCTCAGAACTTGGAGGTTTTGTGCTCCTAATTAATGGATTTCTCAGGTCAGCTGTGTTTCTAGGTGGTACCCCCTGCTCCGTGGTGAGGGCAATGTCCCAAAGTCTTTCCCGGGAGTGTTTCCCTCTTTCATGAGGACTCTCCCAGGCCCTGGCAGCCCTTTGCTGCCCTCCCGCAAGGAAGGGCTCGAGTAACAAGGTCCCGAGGGGAAGAGCAAGGGGTGGCCTCTGACCAAATCTCTGCCCTCTCCTTAACCCCAACCATTGACTGCATTGACTTAAATACTGGCTCTAGAAAGCTCTGCTACCATAAGACGTTTTTACAGTGCTTAGGTTTACTGAATAAAGTGTTTTCCAAGGTTATCATCCAATCTCAGTGTCAGCAGTGCTCCAGCTGCAGCAGACAGGCACCACCCAGCCCGAGGGACATGGAGGAGGAGGAGGAAGAGATGGCCTGCGCCTTTCCTGAAGTGTGAGTGACACAGGACCGGGGCAGCTGGAATTCAGCAAGCCTCAAAGCCCAGTCCTGCAGGTGGGGCTGAACAAGCCCTTGGCACAGCTAGAAAAATGATGTGGGGAGACCCCCTGAAGGTGGTGGTCCGTGACTGCTAAGTCTTTATGTTGCTAATGCACAGATTGTTTGAAAACCCCACGTGTATTTACCCTCCCCTCAGCTCTGTAGCAGTGCGATGCCGTTGCTGCTCCGACTGCAGCAGAGAGGCAGGGAGCAGAGTCTTCCCTTATTTTTAGGTCGCTGAGCAGTGGATGATCCCTTAGTTTGAGCAGCTTAAGCCCTTAACCTTCATCTGGGTATTTACTTCCTTCAAGTCGTGTGTGCTCCCTGCCCTGCCTCGAGGGGGGTGCCTGGAAGAGGAACCTCTTGTGCTCCCGACCAAACCCCAAGAGCTGCAGGAGGCAGCAGGACTTAGGTGGAGAAAGTGGAGCTGAACCGTTTGAAGATGCAGGAGCACGGCCTAGGGGCCAGAAGCTTCATTGCTGCTGGCAAAACTGCTTGCCTCTCGCCCTGGCAAGCTCTCAAACCAATAAAGGTGTCAATGGTAGATTAGTTCTTCCATGAAATCCCATGTCAGGAGTTTAGGAGGTCAAAATTTCTACTTTGTTGGGACTTTGCAGGATTCTGGTGCATCTTTGCTACCGTCACTAGCACTAGGAAAGGCCAGTACAAGTGGTCCTCAATCCTCAATTATTTCTTGCTGCCAAGACACCAACTAAGGGAGAGAGGAACCCATGTTCTTTCTGCCACCACAGAGGATCCACAACAAATGCATTTTTGCACCAATTTCTACCATGCAGGTAATGACACTGGAGCCATTTCTTGTGGCAAAAGCTGCTCTAAACAGCGCTCCATTTGTCCCCCCCAGCTACAAGAGCATCCAGGGCTTCCACTGCATTAGATAATTCACATCCTTCTTTCACACCGGCCCATCTGCTTCACTTAACCTCAGTTCCAGTGTCAGCAACATGCACATAAATGAGGCGCTCGGTGCCTCTGTTGCGCTCCCAGGCGCCAGGGTGAAACTGCCTACGTTGCCATTGCAAAGGTTGAGAGAGTCGGACAGGTGAGGGATCATTAATGTAATTAAGTGCTGGAGCCTTTGCTTTGTAAAGCAGCTGCTCAGCCGCCCACAGGCGCCGCGGGCGTCCGGCTTGTCCTCAGAGCGCTGCGTTGATCCGATCCTTCTCCCTTCCAGCTCCAGCAGAGGGAAGGATGCGCTCCGGCCGCTGCGCTCTCAACAGCTCCTCGAAGAAAGGTGAGTGCAAGCACGTGTCATTTACAAAGAAAAATCCCCCCAAAAGCATGCTCAGAGGGACATCAGTGGGTCTCTGCTCCCCACCTTGGTTTTGGTTGATTTCCAAAGCAAATCAGCTGCCAAATTCCGCCCGGCTCCCTCAAAGATGGAGCCGTCCTCCTCGCTTTTCCAGCAGCAAGGCAGCAGAGCCGGTATTGCAAGCACGTATGTGGACCGCGCTCTCCTCCACGTCTCTCCTGTGACGAGGTGAAGGCAGAGGTGCCCCGCTGGCAAGAGAAACTTTAATCTCCATTCTGCAGCTCTTTCCAAAGGAATCCAGCAGAACCCACACTATTAACCATAGCTGCACTGTGGGAAACAGCACAAACCTAGCTCAGCACCAGCCCCTTATAATGGGATCATTCTTACTGTTATCCCTTCCCTTTTGGAGCAGCTGTTCCAGAGCCGTGCTGGGAGGAGAGCGAAGGCCCTGCGGCTGCAGCGCGAGCCAGCGTCCCTGCTCTGGTAAAGACGAGTGACACAAACCGCGTTTGATCCTTTACTTTATTGAAAGTGGCAGTTCCCTTTCAACGCTTTGAAAGCTAAAACTGTCGTTGCTTCGAATACTGAAGGAAGGTGGTTGGGCTTGTTTCCTTTAAAAACTTTACTCGTTACGCTGCAGTGCATGTGAATAATAATAATAATAATAATACAAGGTACCTTATTGACACAATTTGCTACCGTCATGAACAACAACTTTAAAAAAAAAGCAGCAGGGACCTTTCTGCTCACCTGCAGCCTCTGCCTCCCACCTCCATGAGTGTCCTCGCTCTGTGCTAACACCTTCTCCCGAGGGGATAGGAAAGGGGTTGCTCTGTGTTTATTTTTCCATAAATACAGGCTCCGATAGCTCCCACAGCACCCAGGGAAGTGTCCCTGCACAACTGGGCTCTGGCCCCGCGGAGCAGCCGCGCTCGTTCAGCACAAGGTAGAGGGGAGCAGGACGCCCCAGCGGCCCTGGGACACCGGCACGGCGGAAACGGATGTTCCCTCTGAGACCAACAACACTTAAAACCTGAACCCAAGTACCAAAAAAGAAAAGAAGAAAGTCTAGCCTTGCTCACGCACAAAGGGGCCTAGCTTTAAAAACAGAAACGCTGAGCAGCTCTCGGCAGCTTGCAGGGGAGCCACGTCATTCACAGGCACCCGCAGACAGGTTGGGGTGTCTAAAAAAACAGCAACCTCTTTATGGTTACAGCATCCAGGCATTAGGATCCTACACCTGGTTTCCTGGACCTTTTGAGGAGAGATTTCAGATCATTAACCTCAATTAAAGATCAGCTCGAGGAACTAGTCCTATAGAGAAGGCAAAGCGACATGGGGTGGCTCTGCTGCACCTCCCTGGAGCGGGTGATGCAGCAATAGGTGCTTTAATCTCCCTTGCTGGCGATCAGCAACGCGCCCGCTCGCCGGAGCAAAGCCCTGGCTTCGGTTCAGCTCCCAAACTGCGCGAGGAGCCGCTGCGGGAATGTGGACAGGAAGGGCATGGCGGCCCAGGGTGGTTTTGCTACCCCAACTGCAACATACAGACACTGCTGCTGTTTCCCATCTGATTTTTATCTTCTTGTAGAAGACAGGGGCTTTTTTTCTGCCTCAAAACCCTCTACAAAAGGTGAAATTGCCTTTCAAAGAATTGAAGCCCTGTCAGTGTCTTGGTTGTCTTATTCCCCATCCTTTTTTCAAACCCTTCTGCAACACTGGTGCAAACGCTGTGGGGCGGCCACTCAGCTTAGACCCCAGGGCCACCAAAAGCCACCCGCCTGGCCCCTTTGGCTGCAGAAAGCTGCACGGAGAGGACCCTTATCTGCTCCCCAGCCCTTCCAGACCGGAGCACGATCTCTTTGCACGGCCCCACGGCAGCTTTTGCCGAGGACCAACACACCAAAAGGGAAGCACGGTCAGCGGCCCCGTCCTGTGGAAGGAGATGCGAGGGGAGACCCCCAGCAAGCTCCGCCATTTCAGCTGACTGCAGCTGAAAGCTTTTCTTTCCTAGCGTGTGAAGGAGTCGAAAGGATCCTCGGGAACAAGCAGCGCACGGCGGTGCTGCTCCCACACGCTCCGTGGGGAAGGGCAGGAGGCTGAACCCGGCATCAGAGTTGCCTTTGAAAACGTAGCTGAAGAGAAGCAGCTCCAGGCGTTTACCTAGAATAAGCTGTGAACCAAACCAAGCCAAACTGGATACATCCAGAGGGAAACAATTAAAAACGGCATTGAGTACATTGTAAAAACAATTAGACCGCCCGTCTCGGGCTCTGCAAAAGGTCTAAATTGTACTTGCATTGCAAACCCCACCCTGGGTTATCATGGAAACACGTGTACATGAAGGCTCTGAAATGTCCTGGAGTCCGTAACACCATGTTATATCCAACAGCAGATGGTGGTCGGGTTTCATGTGTAGCTCTTATGAAGCTGGGACAACAAAAAGAAACAAAAAAAGAAAAATCCTTTCTCCCCTCCTCAAAACAGCAGCAGGGAATGTGGGTGTCAGCGGGCAGAAGTCAGGTGGTTCCGACTGTGTGAAAACCTGCAAGAACAACGAGAGGAATTGGTCGACCTGTCGCTGTTGTATCCAATAGTGTTTCCTGACTGGTGAGGAAAGGGGAAGGGTGAGGATGAGCACTAAGAGCGGCGATGGGGATGAAGCTGAAGCAGTGTTAAATTAAAGCCTGATAAACTCATGAGCCAGGAGCTGATGTTGCTGTCTGCACTACACAGATTTCACTGAACTGGGTGCCAGCAGCAGAGCTAAGTCACTCCAGTACCTGCCAAGCAGCAGGGAGCTTCGTGGCGCTGTATAATCCTCCCTCAGCGATTTATTATTAAGGACCTGCTACCTGATCCTGGGTAAGCAAAGCAACCCCTTGCAAGAAGTGCTTTAAAGCACGTTCCTCGCAGTGAAACGGATACTGCCTGGTGCAGAAGTGATCCAGGGACGTTCTGCAGTGTGGCCACGGCTCGGGTAGCGGGACAATCAGGATCTCTTAGGGATGGTGAAGGTGGGGAGCACATCACTGTGGAGTGCAACACCCCCTTACACGACAGCAACTGTTTAGTGTAGGAAAGGGGTTTTTAGGGCACGATGAACTGATTGTGTTAGATAAAAAGCGTTCAGAAGTGACTGAGGAGGTGGGAATGTCCAAACTGGCTGCTGGTTGCCATCACCAGTATTTCTGTTTTGGGTGCCTGGACTGCTCAGCACCACCCATACTCTAACACTGCTACGTGGTTCAGAATGGCTCCCGGCGCAGGGGCCACTCACCTCTGCACCCGCTCCACCATGTGTGCTATGAGTTTGTCAGAGATGCCTGGGCAGGACTCCTCGGCCAAGCTGAAGGCATTTTCCAGCTCCTCCATGGCTCCCACGTTGCCTCCGGTCTGCTTGTGCTTGTCCTTAAGCTGCAACATGTCAGAAACACCACGCTGGCTCCTGGCCTCGCCGCAGGAAGCCCCATGCCCCGTTTGAGCAGGATACATCAGCCGAGCACTGCCTGCCCACTAACGAAGCTGGGCTCATTAAGGGGCTTTACAGCAGCCTCTCTTAAATTGTCCCCATGCTGGAAAGGCAGTTCAGCTCTCTGCTAACACTATCTCACCAATAACAGTAGTTTTGAAAATTAACTCCTTGTCCCCAGCCAGAACACAGGCCAGGGAAGCAGGATGGATTTTCCAAGCTCGTTTTCTCTCTGCCTGCTTTTGGGTCCTACGTGGCTAATCCCTTAGCCTTGGGCTGCCAGCCCTAGCAGAGCACACAGTGACAGCCCCAGGGCTGCGCTGCCCGGGAGCGCTTCCTGATCACACCGCGTACAATTCAGCCCTGCTCTGTACCTCGCCCCACATCCCTCCTCAGAATCCTTCCCAGGCACCAATCCCTGTCAGGGCCCTCGTCATCTCCAACCCCCGCAGACAGACGGAGGGTCCTACTCACCTCCCCGAACACCGGGTGAACGAGTGTGGAGAGACACTGCGACCGTGGCTGCCTCTTGATGGGCTCTGTAGGCTGGAAAGTAACAGGCGCAGGAGTTAGGGGCACGGACTGCCCTAAACCAACTCCTAAACCGCTGAATTTCAAAGCACCTCGACCTCAACCAGGGCTCAGAGAAGCAGCAGCGCACAGATGTGGAAGAGGCGGCTCTGGGCCACTAGCTCTTGATACCAGAACTAAGGTCAAATTTATGTAGAACAAGAGTGATTGCTGGCTACCCCAAGGGCCTCAAGGTTGTGTTAAGTTCAGTCTGCTTTTTATGGAAGAGATGGCAAACTGACCTTCTGGGAACTGTGAAGAGCCATTCCTTTGTGCAGTTTGCCCAAGGAGTTGGGGCGAATAGTTGGTGGGAACGTCCAGATTGGACCCTGGTCTCCATCTTCTGTGTCTCCATCACTAGAAACCCAAAGCAGGAGGTCAAGGCAAAGCATCCCCGTATTCATAAGCTCTCCCTCATGTGATCTTCATGTCAGTACAGGGCTCCAGGCTTTTCCCTACCCCTAAAAATGCCCAGTCAGGAATTAGGCTTAGTTATAGCATTATTTATGGCGAACCTCCCAGAGTCATTGGTCACTCCAGTCTCTGCCACTACGGATAAAGCTCCACAAGGGCAGCCTGGCAGCAGGCTGACCCGCTCGCAGTGCACGTACATGTCAGAGTCACCAGAACTGGAATCCTCCCCGTGGCCCTCGGACTTCCAGCGCTTGAAGCGGTCGATCAGCTCCATGAGGAATGAGGTTTTCTTGGTGTAGCGCGTGATGAACTTGTGCTTCAGCAACTCTTTAGCCGTCGGCCTCTGGAGCAAATACAGAAAACACGTTCTATAGGGTGTATTTAATTTAATTTAATTCCTCCTTCCTAAGGAAACTTTAGCCTGTGCAAGGCGCTGCCTGAATCCCGGGGCGGACAGCAATACTCACAAATCTCGGATCCTTATTGAGGCAGGCTTCCACGAACTCCTTGAAGGGCTTGCTGTGATGTCCCTCCAGCGTCGGAGGGTTATTTTTGGGGATCAGGAAGAGAACCCTCATAGGATGCAAGTCAGAATTCGGGGGCTCTCCCTTTGCTAGTTCAATGGCTGTGATTCCAAGGGACCAGATATCTGCCTGAGAGGGGAGCAAGAAGAGTGACCGCAATTCTGCAAGGGGCAATTCTGCCACACGAAAGCACTGAAGTTTTGATAGACCTAAAGAGCTTATTACATGGAACCAGGTAGGGTGTTTAATGTCTTACGAACTTCCCAGCAGACACTGCACCATAAGAGGGCACTGTTGTTCCTGCAACAAGCATCTCCAGCCCCTGTATTAATCCTAGCACTATTGTTTTACTGATAGTAGCACTAAGTGACCACCCTTCTGCTGCACCCAGCTCACCTTGAAGTCGTAAGCAGACTGTTTGATGACCTCTGGCGCCATCCAGAACGGAGTCCCCACAAAGGTGTTTCTCTTGATCTGGGTGTCTGTGAGCTGCCCAGCCACGCCAAAGTCGGCCAGTTTCACATCTCCTTGCTCCGAAAGCAGCACGTTGGCAGCTGTTCACACACACAAGTCCAAGGGCGCTGGTTTCTGACCAGCTGCAACCCGCACGGAACTGAACCCAGAGAAGGGACCTCTCCATGACATCCCCCAGACTAAAACCAGCCTGAACTGAGTTACAATGAAACAAACCATTTCAGATCTAGAAACAAGTAACCCAAGAGAAGCAGCCTTGGAAGCCCTTCAGACTATACCTGCATAATACTTGAAGCCATGTTCGGAACATCCCTTAAGGGAGGGAAGAAGGGCTGAGCTCTCCCCTCTTACCTTTGATGTCCCTGTGGATCTTCCTCTCCGAGTGTAGGTAGTCCAGGCCCTTCAGGATTTCCCGTAGGATAGTAGCTATGTAAGTCTCTTCCAGGGGCCCAGGCTTCAGCTGAAAAAAGGCAGAAGTTGACTTAAAGAGTGAGAGATGCCTGAGATTTCCCAGCCTCTCCATCTGGGCATGCGGAAACCTTTGTCAGGTGCTGCAGGCAGCGCTTGCTACACCAGCCCAGTGCACGTGTTACTCCACAAGCTCCACATCCACTTTTCTCCACTGATCTCTGGATCTTTAAATGGGAAAAACTCGGGGGGATTTAATTTATTAAAGGCTTCCTGTACCACACACAGCATAACCGTGCCCCACCAATAGCAGCTCTTCTCTTCCTTTGCTCTGCAAATACTTCTTAGCTTCTCCTGCTCAAGCCTCTTTGCCAACATCCAAAAGCTGAATTTGAGGCTCCACAACAGCCCGGGGAACATTTTTACCCTCTGGTTCTGCTCTAACAGGGTATTAGAGTATCAAAGCTTTTCTCCTTTTAATCAGTTCTCCTAAACAAGACCAGCCTTCCCAGTACAGTAATTGATGCTCTGACACTGAGATGCCTTCTGCTGATGACAGGCCCCTAATACACCCTTCCTCTAAGTCAGTGCAGGCTCAGCAGCTTTCACGCTGGGCCCTTCATTACTGCTCTGAAAAAAACACACTTCATTATCCCAAGGAGAAAAAGCACAATCCATGCTGAAGAATACTGAGCAGCCGGCCTTCGCCAAATGAACCTCGGCATTGGTATTCCCTTAAAATCTGAGGTTAGACATCATTTGTGTTCCCAAGCACTTGGAAACCCCTGCTCACGGACCAGGGCTACAGAGACACCAAGCAACCCTGCAAACTGCATGGGGGCTGATCCCTGGTTCATTGAGGACAGACATGGACTCGACCTGCTCAAAAACAACTGGCTGCGTTGCCTTTCTGTCCACTGGCTCCTTTCCCTCTCCCGGGACACAAATCAGCAGCACGTCCATCCCGCACCCCTCAGGGCTGTCGGAGCGATGGCACGCAGCAAACGAGCGTCTAGCTCAGAGGCAGTTCCCAAACCAAGGCTCCAGCTTACCAGGAACTTACCAAATCCAGGGCTGAACCTCCTCCCAGGTATTCCATGATGATCCACAGTTTCGTGCCCTGCAAGCAAGAATGCAGGTTAAGAGCTCTTGGAGTGCAGCTTTATCTGAGCAGGCTCGGTACTGCCACGGGAACCGGGCTGTGCAGCCCACAGGGATAAGCTGGGCTTAGAGCTTTGCGACTCCACTCCAGCCCATCTCCAGCTTGTCAAGAACCAGGGGAGTTTTTCAGCCTCCGACCTTGGTAATGAGGCTGCCAACTCAAAAAGTGGATTGGCAAAACACTCTTGCTCCCCAAAGGGATTCCCAGGCTGAGATTTGCAAAGTCCTGATAAGAGATAACGGAGGCGGCCCAGGAAACCGCAGCTTTTTTGATGTTTCCATTAGAAGGCTGAGAAAATGCATGATGGCCTTGGAAAAAACACGTGAGGAATCATCAGGATCCCCAAAGCCTAATGCTTTGCTCCGGTCCCAACGGAACCTCCGGCAGCAGCCGTGCAGAGGCTGCTCCTGCTCAGTGCTGACAGCCTCTACCAAGGATTCCCAATCCCATTCCCAGTGGAAGAGATGCCACTTGTCCCCGCTCTCCTCCAATGACTCTGGCCCTCGTTTTATTGCTCCTTCAACCCTCAATACACTCTTCCCTCGCTCCTGCCTCCCCATGCGAGCGTGTTAGAGCTCAGTCTTGTAATAAAACCACACTAATGCAGCAGGATCTCCTACCTTCAGGTAGGAGCCGTAGTATCGGGTGATGTAGGGACTATCGCACTGGCTGAGCGCTGTAATCTGCTGCTGAATCTCCTCGATTTCATCCTCGGCCTCCTCCAGGTCGATGATCTTGATGGCCACCACCTCCTTGGTGCGGTTGTCGATACCCTTGTACACCTCCCCGAAGGACCCCTTGCCGATGCGCTCCAGCTTGGTGAACAGCTCCTCGGGGTCCACCCTGGAGTGCTGGAGACAGGAAGAAATCAGGGAGCGCAGAGCAGCACCGTGCACACCCGGCAGCACCGGCCTCATCCCGCCTGCCCCTCTGCGTCCCGCTCTGCTGTTTAACCACCCCCCACTCCATGAACGGGCTCCAGATCAGCACAGAGCATGCCCTGGCTGGGAAGAACTGCAGAAACCTTCTTACAAAGGGCTTTCTGCCCCTACAGACCTCTCCCCCTTGCAGGGAGAGACGCTGGGAAGGAGGATGTCAATGAGCTCTTCAGAGCCCACGTTCAGGCCCACGGAGCCTCCCATCTTTCAGAAGCCAGGTTAGGTACCCAGCTATCCCAGAGGAATGCGAAGAGCGGGATGGACCCTCCATCTACAGACTCGTTCTTCTGAAGCAGCTTTCTCTGACTGGCACAGCCAGATGCAAAATAAAAAATAAATTTAAAATAAATTTTAAAATACCCTCACCTGAGAATTACTGACTCCCTAACAGCAGCCGGGCTTCAAAATTAACAATTCAAGAGTGAGGTTGAAGAGCAAGGGAAGAAGCCAGAATCATTTTCTGGTGCCACTTCATCCTGCCCAGCTACACACCCGGAGGCCCTGCTCTACTTGAGGCTTTTTGTGATTAGATTTTCTGCCTTTCGTAAGAATTAGTGTAGAAATAAGGCTGCAAAGTGCGCTCTGACGGACGGGACGCAGCCGAGCCGCTGCGGTGAGCTCTGCGCACCCGGGGCTCCTCCGGCTCCGCCACGGCGCCCGCAGGGACCGTGAGATTTTATCCGAGACCGGGAATGCTGCACGTTCCCACCTAACCCCAGGTTTGAGCCAGCGCCCGGCAGCATCGGGAGCTGCTTTATGATTAAGCCACCATGGACGCCCAGCGCGTTGCTCCATGGGGAACGCCAGGATGAGGAAGGACAAGCTTTATGCCCCGGGGGTCTCCAGGCACGTGTCAATCCGAGGCACGGGAGGGTTGCTGTATATCCCTGTGCATCCAAGGCAGCACCCAAATGGGCTCTACCGGGAGCAAACACGTTGGGAAACAGCCTGGTGGGGAAAGGCTAAGCTGGAGAAGTCGCAGGGGAAGAGGATCTGAACTCGAGAGACGCCAAGAGACAGGGCAAGCACAGGGACCGCGGCGGGAACGACCCTCCGGCTGACCCGGGCTCCCAAGAGGACAAGCGCAGCTTCCATCTCCGGACCGACCCACAGCAAAGTGGCCTGGGTGTTTCCAGGCCCGGTGACCCACTGCACAAGTGCCACCCATGGTCTGGAAAGGGAGCGTCAAGCCCATCTGGGCCACATTACTTTAATAACTGCAGCTGACTTGGGAGTTTGGTGTCTCCAAAGCTCTATGTGGAACTACAGCAGTGCCTGCTGTTACCTCTAACTACAGAATTTTCCAATCAGCGAAGGAAATCGGCCCGAGACGGTTTTGACCTGCTCAAGTCTAGCTAAGGAGGTGATTCCTGCAGCGAGCAGTGCTTGGAAATACAAATATAACCCGCGGTGGCGAAAGGGCTTCGCAAGGAGCTTCCTTTTGCTCCAAGGCAGCGCGATGTTACTGAGTCAGAGGATTCGAGAGACATCCTCCAGGCCACGGAAGGAGCAGAACCGGAATGGGGGCTCGGCCCGCAGCGCTAAGTGCTGCTAAGCGAGTGCATTGTGTAGACGGGAGAGCCAAGACTGGGCTCTACGCGCGGAGCAGACGAGAGACAGCGGCCTCAACCAGCCGAGGCGGGGAGGGGAAGGGGAAGCCATTCGGGGATTTGTCCAGGCTAATCCAGCGGCGCTGGGAATCCAAGCTAAGACAGGGCTCCGACACCTCCGGTGCTGGGGTCTCTCCGTTTCGCAATTCCTCCCCGCCATTCCCTGGATTCAGGCAAGCGGATCTTCATGGCA